GGATGGCAGAGCCTTTACCTACCAGCCCCCCTGCTGTATTTTATTTTGTGGCTGGCAAAGCTGTGGGCTAAAAGGTTTGGGCTATGTGCACACACTGCTGTACCAAAGGGGACACCGAGGAAAAGCTCTGTTTGTGCGGAGGTCTGTAAACCCCCACACGGAATGCTCAGGTCACAGAGGGTGTCACGGGACCCAGGGGTACCCTGCCAAGACTGTCCTGACTTTCACATGGTCAATATGATAAAGTTTTGATATAAATACGGATCCAGAAGACAGGCCAGGAGGAACCAGTGAAAACAGTGAGTGAGCAAAAATTTAAACTGGGATCTAGCCCGTCCTCTGCGGAGATCTGAGACAGCCACATTCACCAGTTAGAAGAACAACAAATCGGAAATGAGGAAGTCAGCTGAACAGAGCAATAGGACAATCGGGTGTCATTAAATGACGGCTCTGTCACACAGAACCACGGAAGACGTGCTGGCCACGGAATGTACACTGAACAGCAAGATTCAAACGTAACATATGCAATTATTCAACCTATGGAAAATTCAAAGGAAAGGAGGCAGACTTGGGATGATTTTTTTGTCATTCTCTTTTAAATCCCTCCCTTAAGACGATTAGTTAGCTTTTAATTTTAAAATTATTTTTAAATTCGTTTGTGAAAAACATGCTATTTTACATTAGGTCAATTATTTGCAGTTATTGAAAACAATTTCTAGGATTAAGACAAAAAGGTCTGCTTTAAAAGCAAAGATGACCCGGACACGGTGGTACACACTTTTAATCCCCAGTATCTGGGAGGCAGAGGCAGGTGGATCTCTGAGTTTAAGGCTAGCCTGGCCTACAGGAAGGGGGGGGGCGGCTCTAGGACAGCCAGGACTACACAGAGAAACCCTGTCTCAACAGACAGACAGACAGACAGACAGGCAAGGCAGATAAACAACTGTAAAGCCAGCAGGGAGCTGATAGCGATCTCCAGCCTTCTGTTATCACAGTGTGAGAGCCTAGCGCACACTCATGACAGTGAGCAGGCATTCCTGACACCCATGGATGGCAGCTTTATTTTTTCTCACACCTTCTGACTTAGTAACTATATTCTTCTCAAATTTAATCCTAAGGGGTACTCAGAGAGGTAAAAAAATTAGAGTCATAACTATTTTCTTCTGTTTCTATTTATACTTTGTGTTAAGATATAACCTACATCGAATGAAGCACACAAATCTTTTTTTTTTTTAATTCATAAAATGAACATTTAACTTAAGGCTTTCTTTTAAAAAAATAATCAGCTTACTGGTGCGAAGCTACGGCACAGAGAGGAGGATCACAGAGTGGCTGGCTACCCTGCTGGGACACACACGTGAGGGAGTTCAGGGTCCGCTTGCATGCGGTTCCTCTTCAGCCTGAGCTACAGGAGCACAAAGTGTGTCTACAGATTCCTCCGGTCTGTCCTTTTATCCCTTCGTCCAGTGTGGCCATTCCGCCTGTCTGATCAGGTTTAACCTCAACTGTGACTTCACTTCCTTCCAATCATTGTTCCTTTTATATTTTTTTAGTTGTTTGCCAGGGTTTGGGCCTGTCTTCGTTATTTTCTATTGCTATGGTAAGACCCGGTGACCAAAGCAACTTATGAAAGGAGGTATGTAATCGGGCTCAAGGTTTCAGCGGGTCAGCGTCCACGACGGGGGAGAGAAGGAACTGGGACCCCACACCCTGCTCCACAACCACGAGCAGACACACGGTGGAAAGAGTTTTGTGAGGTCCCAAAGTCCTCCGCCAGTGACACGTCTCCGCCACTCTCCTGCACCCTCCATCCCGCTGGCCAGCCTGCCCCTCAACCCTGTAAAAACACCAAGACAAACCCTCAGTTGTCTCCGGTCTATTCTCACGACCTCTTCTGCACACGGCGGGCACGTGCCTGCTTCCTCCATTCTCCCTCTCCTCCCTTAGAGAAAGCTGCCGCTCTGGAACCCCCCCTCTAGTCTACTGGGCACAGGCTGGGCACACGCAGGGCACACTCAGCACATTCCCAGAGTCTCTCTCACCCCTGTCAAATCACTCATGTGTGGTGCCGTACTCCACGGCTGGTCCATCCTTACGGATTTGCAGCCTTGACCAGGTGTGGTGAACTGCTGGAGTTCCATCCACGGGGTAAGGGAGGATGCTGGTCAGAGAGCAAGCGCTTCTGAGACTTTGTGAGATAGGGCCGAATCCCCACCCCCCTGCTGCACCAACCAGAGAGGGCGCTCTCCCCTCCACACCTTCACTAATGGTGAATAACGCGAATGTGTGCACAATCATCACCTGTGCATGTCTTCTGCCCATTTAAAGAGTTCCTTCTATGTTTGGGAAATTATCTATGCTATCTACCGCAAATACTTTCTTCTGGTTTGTCATTTATCTTTTGATTTAGCTTACAGTCTACCAGAATAATATTTTATTTTTAAGTGTGTGTGTGTGTGTGTGTGTGTGTGTGTGTGTGTGTGTGTGTGAAATACATTAA